CAACGCCCCCTCCTAGCTTGTCTTGGGCCTTGATTCTAGAAATCATCATGACCGTGCCATCATAGTATTTAACATTATACACGTACCCATAAACACCCTCCAGCTCTAGCACTACAGCAGGCCCTCTAGAAAGACATCCCTCACGCTTTTTCCGGCGCGGGGGAGCATCTACATCTGCATAGCATGGTCTATTCTCTCTGGGGTCTGCTCCATGCGATATGCAGCCTGCATTTTGCAAAGAATCCGAGTGCAACAGCAGCAGCAACAGCAGCAACAGAGGATGAGTCCAAAATGAGTGCGTTGTGGTGGAGGCGAATATCTATATATATGATGAAACCCCTCCTACAGTGACGTGTTTCCGGTCAAAACTAACGCCCATCGCATAAAACACACCCTGAAATGGCGAATTTCCAATCAAAACCCCGCACGCATCGTCAAAATGGCGTATTGATGCTTAAACAGTGCACGCCCCCCTACAAATCACGCCCCAAAATGACGTATTTCCGTTTCCACTCGTAAAATGATGCATTTCCGGGCATGACTGCAAAATGGCGGCGGTTACGCCCACCTCCTGTACAGGCCCCCTTGCACGTGCATGAGGTCAAAAGTCACATGCACAAACGCTCTGCTTAGTGGCGATAAGGCAATCTAAAGCCGCTCAGCATCCCGAGCGTTAAATCCAGCTAGGAATGGGGTAGCTGCACGTATGCTAACTCTTCTACATGGTGGTAGCCGAAGCCCGATGACAAGTCTTTTGTGCGATTTTTGCACATCACAATGAAATGTGTCCACATGGATTTTTCTAAAAGCCGGTTTGAAGAATGGTCTCAGTATGTGGAAACAAAACAAGGGTGTTACGCTGGCTCGCTTGTGAACTGGATTCCCACATTTTAGGCTAAGAAAAGGTATGATTGTCTATAGCTGAATTGTGGCTTTTATTGGAAAAAACATTTGCTCTCCCATGCATGCTGTGTTGTCTACTGCGTAGACAAAAATGAACACGCCAGTGCACGCATGAAAACAAACACCAGCGTCTCAAACCCTGCAGCTGTGTCAAGAGTATGTGATACTAATTACACAGAGCTATTTAATAGAGTATTTAATAAAGAAGAAAAATGATCTAATGTAAAAATGTAGAGGGTAACTTGACAGAAAGGGTCACAGGATCTTGAAAATCAAATAGCTGTATCTTATATACTTAGTTGTATATAACTAAGACTTTGTTAAGCATTTATTGCAGTATGCCTCAAAGAGATTTCTTATTTGCAAAGTAAGGGTGACTAAACAGGAAGCGGTCAGTGAAGTCAAAAGAGTTCATATTAGGGGAATAATAGGTATGCAATGTAAATGTTGCAATGCATGAGATAAAGACTCATACAGTGAAAAGGGGGTTCATCCCCGTACCCATCTATATGCTTTCTCAATATCATGGCAATTTGGGAATTATGTTATGTTGTTGGGAATGACACATTGTTGATGCTTGAAACAATGTTATATGGTCAAAACAATGAAGATTCCCTTTGTGCGCAAAAACAATATTTAACGTAATACTAGTTGTGCGTAAAAGGTGAGGGGGGTTCTATAATAATAACTTAGAGCTCCCCGCCTAGGCACTGACAACAGGACCGGTGAAATGACGCACTTATTCTCTCTCCTCTTACCTCACTACATGTCTCTGGTTCACACTTTTTGGTCAATTTTAGTCTTACACCGCACATGCCGTTAGCAACCTGGCACAGTGAAATAGAGAGCTCACATTAATCGCATTAATCATGGCATCATTCGCATGCATATTTCTTCACAGGCTTCTGCCAGCCTTTCATATGAGAGTCAGAGAGAAATTTCCTATCGGTAATTTACTTGGCTCTTTCTCTCCAGGGCTGAACATGCAATCTGTGTCTTTCATCTTCCTTGCTTCTCCTCAAACTACCTTTGCCTACTGTTCCCTCTTCCTTTTGAGTGTCAGTATTGTGTCCCTATTCCCTATTCCCTTCCGTTTGAATGCTTACGTCTACGTGCCATCCTTAACATGTTCTTCTGCATTATCTTTTTGTACTTCTCTCGTCCCCAATGACTCGCCATGAAAACAGATCACAGTGTCCGGCATTTTTCAAGGGGCCAAACCAGTATACCTCTCTCCCGTCATGAGCTGCTGAAGGCCGGGGAAAACTGACTTCATATCCATTTCACGCGCAGATGAAGAGAGGGAGCATGTCCTTTTGAAAATAAAATAATCAAAGACTGGTCTGAGTGAAACCAAGAGCCACAGGAGCAGTTATTTATTATTTCACTCCATTTTCCTGTACTTAGGCTAGTCAGCCTTTCTTCCTCCCTGCAGAAAATATTCCTCCCCTACTGCTGATTCAGGCTGTTAAGCTGACATATTAACTCCATATCTCCCTTGATTACACTAATTCCACTCTGTCTTGAGTGTGGTCAGTAAATACAAGTTACGTATTGACAACAAATGTATGTCAAGTGCCATATGTTGGGAACGTTGTATAACGTTTTGCTGTTATCCTTCAGCCCTGCAGCCACTTTGATTCGATTGGACGTGCAGATAGCCATGTTTTGTGTCATCTTAGAAAGAAGAATGAAGCTTCATCTAAAGTAAATAGACCTCATCTTGCACTAGTTTGTCAGTTACAAATATGAAAAGCTTGCAACACTGCTTCTAAATCACTTTGGCTGAACAGGATATCATGGCGGCATATTTGTCCGCACTTCAAGATACTCTGGTCGTCAGCGGCAGCTGTTATTGACTGTAAATTCATTACACTGGCAGACAAAGATTCTTGTACAAACACAACAAAATAGGCCATCATATTGTCAAAAAATGTACATTGCTGAGACGTGCATTCATTTAAGTCCTGATATATTCTAAATGAATTAAGACACATTATGTAATAGAGATAATTACAAAACTGCTCATTGTTCTGCATGATTTTACTTAATGTTAATGCCTGCATTAAAGTCCGTTAATCCGCTTTATCTTTTCACCATCATCTTCCTAAGAATGCTTTAAAGTAAAATATTTTTCTGTATGCATTTCCACGATGTCAAAGTAACCCATAGAGATTTCAAAGATCTTTTTAAAATGTATTGATATAATCTCTCGCTTTTATCAGCAAACTCAAATGATTAGAGCCATACTGTACACATTTAACATCAAGAGTTTCAGCATTTTTTATCTATATGTCCTTTTTTACTCCCCTTACTGTCTGGCTTCTTAGCAATCTGGCCTGGCGAGGGTCTTTTACCAGCTACAGATGGATTTACAATTAGATGGTGACAAACGGCAGACGCAGCTGAGCTGTTTTCAGCACTTACAGCTCCTTTGGGAGCCTGTACTCACCATGCTGCAAACCACACTGAGCCCCACCACCACAATCTTAATTGAACGGGTGGCTGCGCAGCTGATTGATTCAGACTGACTTGCATTTCTGGTCATTTCCAGTGGATGATGTAGTGTGACCTGTAGGTCAAAATATGCTGCAATCTGGACCACAAGTCATTGATTTTAGTCTGAATTTGCTGGACTATACATCTTTATCTCTGTGCGTTTACATGGGAGAAAAAGAACAAAGAAAGAACGGCTGAGCTTATTTTTTTTATTTTATTTGATACAGGCTGAACAAGATGATAAATATTCATCTGGTGTCCACACAAAATATGAGCCTATAATAAACTCTTTACGAAATGCACTGCTGTAACAGAGGTGCTATGAGGGTTTCAAAAGGCCACCGGAGGTCGGCTCCACCAAACCCTGCTGCATGTCTGCATTTTGTTTTTCGTTCAAAAAGATATTATTTGCTTAGAAAGAAGATACATAGTTTGTTCTGAAACACGTACTTATGGCATGCAGTGTCTTTGTGAGATGCACAAAGAACAATAATAATGTTTACAACAGCAAACCAAATATACATAATTTCAATCAGTCGGCATAATTGGTCGCCTGTACTTTCTTTTTATAGGCTAAACTAAGAAATGTTCGGTTTTCATCATGGTCTTGTAGTCATGATATCTAACCTCAGTTGTGTGTATTACCGCAATTTCACATCCAGTAGTTGCAAAGTAGAGAAGTTTAAGCTGGTTATATTCTTCATTTTCATTTTCCAAAGAAAAAAAGAAAAAAACCTTCCATTATCCAAAAGTGAAAAATAGAAACATGCGCCCTTGTTAAGATTAAACAGAGCACGTTTCTATTTCTTTGGAGTCCATCCCACATATTTTTGTCCTGTGTCTGAAATTCATTATGTAATATCTGCGAAAACAACAGCTTTTTTCAGAGAATAATTTAAAATAACAAATATAATAGCGACGCGTTTTTAAATATTTTGTCCTCGAAAGGAACAGATATGGTTTACGAAAACTGCCATAAAGATTGTATGGTAAGTTTTGAGAGACAGAAAAGCATTTATTTTGGTTTTAGTCAGGCAGGCGCTGCATAACCACATGCAGCTATTAGAACAACCCTTGCAGAACTGTGCCCTTCCACTCCAAAAGGCTAATTAATAAGCAAATTAAAAGCATATTCTTATGTAATTCCTTCTGGCTCCCATTCCATCATCAGAAGCACATGAAGATGTATTTGCTGTGTTTTATCAGTTACTGATTGTCTGGATTAATGCAACTGCAACGTGAAAACAATACTCACTTGGAATGCTGCATAAATGAGACCGAGTCGGCAAACCTGTATCTTAAATCAAAGGTCATGATAGACTCACACAATAATGTCCTAGTGGATCAAAGGCGCTCATTTGTACTCATAGTTCCTGCTTTACAGCAATGGATGGTGGACAAGACGAGAGAGCTTTATCTTCATTTGCTCTTGTCCAATTATTATTTAGTCAGCACGGTTTGTCCTCTGTGTTGTGTGTTGTCATGTATTTTTGTGTGCAGGCTACGTGTGTTTGTTTGGGAGGCATTATGGCTTTGAATGTCCCCGTGTCCCCAGAGGAACGATCTCCCCCGACTTACTGTAAATCTTCTCTCGTTAGATAAAGGCACTAAAATATCAGCATCGGCAAAGAGTCCCAAGGAAGCGGTTGAAAGGAAAACTACTCAATGATGATTTAGGTAAAGAGAATATTGAATTATATATAACTTAACCTTTAACCTTCCAAAACAGAACAATATGTATGGCTGTATGTGAGTATCCAGATACTGGAAATCTAGTATCTGTTTTTAATATAGTTTTCTTTTTGTTTTTTCAGGGACAGATTTACAGTGGATTGGAAGTTAACAAAAGGATGACCAGATCACCTTGGAACTGTGATTAAATTGGCAGGTAAGAACTAAATTTGGTATTGCTTACTGGTCCACGTAATGTGTGTGTTGCACTTGTAAATTGTGAATATTGTATGTATACACATTTATATAATTTTAACCTTAAATATAAAGATAAAATCATGCATATACTTTTCATCAAAAGATATTCAGCGAAAGTTGAGTGAAAGTAACTTTGGTAACCAAACACTTGACTTTTTATTCACTCTAAGAAAAAAACTCTTCTCAGCTCAAATAAATCATCCTTAAATTCTCAGTAAACTACACTTCTTGAGGCGTGGGATCACTGCCCAGTGGAAAGGTCTCTAATTCTCAGTGGATTGGAAACTATAAATCACTACAATCACTAGACACTGTTTCTGTGTCTTCTGCCCTTTGTATGCTGACCCCTGTGATTGTGAAAATGATTTGGTGGGGAAAGTAAATTAGTGTCTAAATAAATGAGCTGCCAACAATTTTTGCTTTTAGCGATTTCATGGCTGAGCCATTGACCCTTATCAAAGTTACATTAAGTGCCTGTAAACTCATCATATGTTCTGAAGGACTGCAGGGATCAGATAAAACATTTCAAAATGTAAGCTCTCTCCTTGAATTTTATGTTTTAATTGTTGTGCATGGGCTTTACTTTACACCTTATAAGTTTGCATTATTTCATATTCTTCTTGAACTGAAGAATGCTGAATAACAGATTTATTGACTTCTTGACTGACTTTATGGGCAAGCTTTACACTTTCTTTTAGAATTAAGCAAATGAGGATGAATAGTATCTGTTATTATCCATCCAAGGCCAGAATATTGACTAACTACTGTGTTGACTATCTCTTTTAGAGCTAGTAGAGCTAGTATAATTGTTTTGAGTCCATTTCATGAGTGTGTTGAATAATTACTGAGGCAATAGCTTTGGAATTTTTACTTGAATGAACCATGGGCTGTAGTTTTGGCAATGCTCGGGTGCAGTGGGCAAACAATTTTGAACACAATAAATGCTCTGTTAATTGTGCTTGTCAAATATTAAATGGCAAAAGAACATGAGCTTCCTCATCGAAGGATTTTAAGTGCTTGGAAATTATTAATCGATAAGATCATACAGAGAGAGGCTGGTCGGTCTTGTATGGTAGGTTTTACCTAATCAAAGTACTGCACTAAATGAGAAATGACACATCGCTTCTTTGATGCATGAGTGATTATGTGGATGAGTAGGAAAGAAATTATGATACAAATTCACCGAAACAGAAAAATGGGAATAATGTCGTGACCCTCAGCGGTGCTTCTGCTTGTACCTAGCACTGTGAGAATTTCTCTGTTTGTGTTGTATTTGTTTTGTTCACAAAAGGGTGTACTTTTGGACAGCGGACAGAAAAAGCGCCTCTGGTGTGAACAACCCTGCTGCAACTCATGCATGTTACATCCACTACACATCTGTTCTACTTTTGGTGTGAGCGACTGTCACAGTGTCTGGGAACTTTTTCTTTGCAGCCACTGTTCCTCGATTCCGACAATGCTGTCCGTGTTGGCCATATGTTGTCATTATTTTAGGTTATATTATCTCTGCCACAGTAAGTGATTTTTTTCCAGCTGATGCAGGAGCATGATCAGGCACTGAATATCTGGCATCTTTTGTCGTATGTTATTTTAGATTGTGCTGGAAATTTAAGGAATTTTATGCATCAATTCAATATCAATTGAATACAATTACAATCTTATTTTAAACAGTCCCTTCTTTTCCACCTGCTCTGTGAATTTTTGCCAAGCAACGTGGCTGTGAGCTCTAACTGAGCTTGAGGTGAAGTGGTCAAAAGGATTATAAGTGTTCAACAAGTAAACTTAAAGTTCCCCCGACTTAATTTATTTAATCTTAACTGATACTACAGCTTCCGGTTTTGCCTGTAGTTTTTGCAGATATCATCAGTTCGCCCCCAATCTCCCTCTTATCTCACATGCGCTCTCAATCCCTGTACTCAATACTTGGGGAGAGCGTGCAGCCTGGATGTCCGGGACCGCGGCCTCAGAACAACCACTGCTCGGCTCGGCCGCGCTGAAAGTGATTGGTGGTGACCTCCGACCTCAACCGGGCACCTGAGCGACAGCCGTATCACAGACACACTCCTTTATCCCACGTCCTTGAAGAGCAGACAGACATTTTCTGCCCACAGCCTCCCTGAACACTGCTCATAGGACGGAGGATGGTGTGATTGATCACCCCAAGTTGGAATCACTTCTTTAGGAATAACAGGAAGCCAAATAGCTCCTGTGCAGACTAGATTGATTTCAAATAACTATTTTAAGTCTTAATCCCCATTACCGTTTGACTCCAATTACAGTAGACTATAGTATATGGATACTTGTGGCTTTACCGTACCGTGATCATTTGCATTTTCCGTATTTAAACTTGTACACACCCGTACTTGTATGTATGCGTGTGTGTGTGTGTGTGTCTGTGTGTGTGGGTACGTGCTCTTGCAGACATACATGTGTTTGTATCCTTGCATGCTAAATAAAGTTACTGCAGCTTATTCAGGAAAATGTTACGCTTGGGGGGGGGCATCTTCTGACTGAGGGGGAGGCCAATTGCGTCAATTGCGCTGTAAAGAAGTGTCCCATACCTGAATAACAAGTGAGATGTCGTGCAGTAATGACACACCATCTCCATCACACGCTGGTGACCCCACTGCTTCCTAAAGCAGACACTGGAACATTGTCTCACGTGTAGCGCGTCACAACAACTGCCTCATTCAAAAATAGAGTAAGACACGTCATCAGAAAAAAGCACGATGCATTATGTTTGCATCTAGTGCCGATGGAAATTAAATGGAAAATGGAAAAAGATGGAAAAATATCTTATCATATTCGAGTTTGACGCAAACTGTGGCTGATGTTGCAACTTACTCAAGTACTATAATGTGGAAATCTTAGCAAACTTGAAGTTACCATTCCAATGATAATTCTTTGTCGCATGTCATTCATTTTTTAAATGTTAAACCGACCAACGTAGGAACACAAATAAATTCCATTAAGGTTATATTAATATTCCTATGGGGACTAATTTGCCTTTTCTAATGCATTGAACTTTGTCTCTGCTTGTAATGTGGCTCAGTATTTTTTTACAGTTGCACTCTTCCACATGAATGTTTTCAGGTTCAGAGCTACGGCACTAATGATTTTTTTACTGAATATTGGCGAAATTGAACCTGTATTCTTTTTATCTCCATGGATTTGTGTTTCCAACTTTTTCAGAACCAAACAATTGTCTGACAAGCACTTCGAAAAACCAAGAAGCTTGTAGGAAATTAGCATGTCTGGGTACGGTGATGATAATTATAAGTCAGAATGCTTGAAGGCAGTCTGAAGTTACAAGTGTTCATTAGATGAGCTTGTGTTGTTTTTCTCCACTTCCTAACGTCCCCCCCATTGTGTATGTTTCCAACTGGCACTATGTGTGGATGTTACAGAGCAGGCAAATACCTTTTCTTATATGATCACACTTAACTCAAACTGCGAATAGAGGTGAAGCAAAGAACAGCAAACAAAGCTACTGGAACGCAGAAGTACATTCGAATAAACACAATACATGAATTTGGTTGAGGGGAGTTAATCAAGAAACAGGAGAAAACTCACATTCTTATGGGATTAGAATTGTTAATTATTGTGAGTATGATTTAAATGACCGAATAAGGGTAGATTTCTAGATGATAGGAATGCTTCATTTGTACATTTCCTTCCTAATACATTTCTATGCATGGAATGATGATTGATTCAGTGTCTTTTGGACGAATCACAGACCTGCACACTGTGAGTGGCTGCATGTCCGGCTGTGGGCGGGCGAGCAGTTGTCGGCATGTCGGTTTCACTCGGCCGGTCAAAACTAAAGATACTAAGAAAGAGATGCCGTATGACTCCTCGTTGTCTTCTTTATTAACTCCTAGCCATCCTGAACATTTCATTTTGTGCCTCAAAATCAGAGGATTGATCTGTCGCTTGAACTGAGGAGAACCCCGGTGCGGTTGTATCCAATTTACACATATTTCCTACATGGGATTTCAGTATTTACATACATACTGTATATACTGTGTAATGTATGATCGTACGAAGAAGATTCACAATTAGTGTACATATGTGATGGACTGCTGTACTATAATTAGGTTTTAAAGTGAAGCCAAGAATTTCACTGAAACACCGTTACAGTCAATTCTGTGTTAAGTGTTTTCATTGCTTTCGGTTGTGTTTAAATTACTGAACAACAAAAAAAACTATTGTTTCTCTCCAAAAGCTAAATTTTACTGGATTAAATTTGATCACCTGAGCATGACTTGAAGGCATTATGAGGTAACTCTACAGAATCCCAGTACAATAGCTGTTAGCTCTGGTGTGGCCAACAATAGTTACTACCAGACTACCAGAAAGCCTCAACTATCCCTCAATTGCATATTTTCACCAAATATACACTAATAATGATCAGCAGTATACTTTATTTCACATTGGGATGGTTAAGTTGTGTATTTATCATTTGGTTCAAATGCATTATAATATATGTGTTATGAAGTATGAGAGACAAACAAATGAATGCACGACTAACAACATGAGAATGTAAATACTGAAAGCTAAATGCAAATGAAATTCAAATATCTTTTAATAACCTCATGGGAGTCATTTTTCCCAATTTAGCTCTTTGGGAACACCAACAATCAGTAGAATTGGCCCAGCTAAGAGAAAAAAAGACCTTCATGAATATATATTTAATTAAAAATATAGCAGGAAAGGGGTTGAGTCACACTGAGTAACACACTGTTTTCAGCCTCAAAATAGTAACAGAAGTGTATCACAAGATACACAGCAGTGCCTGGCAGTGGCTCAAGGAGAGGACGCTGAGTCCTGTTTTTACCCTCCCGAAAACACTGGTTTAGTTAATAAGCGACCAAACACTGTTTTTCAAAAGAATAATATCTCTATATGATAACTAACTTCTTCCAAACCGTTCTTTGCAGTAGTCAATGTCCTGCAGGT